TCATCGACTTTTTCAGCGTTATTTATTCAGGAATTTGTCATAACTATAATAAAAGAGTGAGTAACTTTACTCACAATCGAAATTTTTTTTAATTTATAAAAATTCGAGAATTTAAATTTCCCACACTCTCAATATGTTTTACCTTCGAATGTTACTTCCATAATTAACTCTTATAGAACCTGAAATTCTATGCATTTCTTGCATTTTAAATATTATTTCTTTTGACGCCGTTTGATGTGGAGATGTAAATTTTTCAAACAACCTTCTTTGTTACGCGTCCGTTTTAATTACGTTTATATACTATAATTGCCTCTCTATAATCGTTTTTCAGTAAATTGCCTCGATTAACGGTGCTTTTTCCATGCGATCGGTCGTGATGTATTTATTTGTAGGGGCAGAAAACGCAACATTATTGCTCTGTGCGTCGAGTTCCTTCGTTTTTCAACCAATTTCAAAGGGCATGACAAGGGCTTCCGGTTTTCTCTTCAGACGCAACTGTAGCGTTTCACACCGAAAAGGGTTCTTGTGGTACTACTGATGTCTTTCTCTCTCTCTCTCTCTCTCTCTCTCTCCCAATCGCTGAAACTAATTTAATTAACTAATCACCGTTAGTTCAGGTATTACGCGGAAACCTATCTAGCTTCATTTGAAACATTCTCAATGAGAGAAATGGAGTACGCTCAAAGGCGATATACACATGTTTGAAAGACAAATGAATAGATTCACAGTAGATCATATTTAATTTTAATCTAATCTGTAGGCCTATTCTGTAACTTTTAACGACAGTTTGGTATTGTTATACTGTCGTTGCGCAGCTTTTTCACTATGTAAAATACCTGCGTAATGACATCCCTAGCTAGTAAAATTATTAAAAAGCTATAGAATAAGCCTACTGAGGTGTGATATCCTTGTTTAACATATTCGTTAAACAATAAGGATGACATGATACCCAGGGAGCACCCAGGTAGGATAGGTATCCTTACCCAAGTTTCACTTACTCCAAGTTTTTGTATTGCCTATTTTGTTGATTCTAACTACTTTTCGTAAATAGAATTCTGTTAATTTAAATAATAAATAACGGCCGATGTATATATGACATAAACAATTTTGGCTCTTTGAAATCTTTTGAAGAGTTAACTTATTTTAACTTGTTCTGACTTACAGGAGAGAATATTCATTTGCATGACTTATGTAACGCATAAGGTATTGAGTCAACGATTTCTATTGTCGTTTTTATAACAATAGTCTTGGATCTCTATTCTTGAAAAGAAATCTGTACGAAAAAGGGAAATATAATACTATAGTATATCAAGTATGTTATACATATATTATACATATATTATATATATATAATATATATATATACTATATA